TGGGGACGACTTGGCCCTTAAAATTAAGAATGACTAAATGTTTAATTGTCTATGCCTTTCTAGATGCAATTATTTCATTCATTCACAAAATGTTTTACATCTATAATATGGCTAATATCATTATGCTAATTATTTCTATTTGCCTTTATGAGACCTAATTCAAGTGAAGAGGGAGATTCATTGGCTTGTTTAGGCCACTAGGGTGCTCCATTGCTCCAAATGGCATTGCAGTGTTTGGTTGAGTTTATCTAGAACAAAAAATAAAATGAGTATGTTATTCTCCACTTACTGAAAATGATCAAAATAATAAAACACTGACAAAAATTTAGTACACCTCAGAAATCTGGAGACATGAAGGAGAGCCAGGCTGAACTGAGGAAAAGTCTGATTTGCAGAATGTTCTTTAATTGTTTCATTATTTTCTGATACTATGCATTCTTAAATTTATAAGATATAAATAAGTAGTTATAAACGATGTCAACAAAAATAATGTACAATATTTATTTGCATATAATAGGTGGTTATTAAGCACTTAATGAAAAACCTACTTTAAAAAAAACCACTTTGACGTGTAAATACATTTGACAGATTTAGCCCTTTGGCATTTTTACTTAAGAATCACTTAAGCCAAATGGAAATAACTATTCATTTCAAATCTTTTATTTTATCAAATAAACACATTGATTAAGAATGTTTTGAGATTTTAAGTGAGAGTGTTATATAAATGAATTTTTACAATATGATATTTTTATTCTGTAGGGCCATTCGTTTAAAAAGGAATTTGTTTTAAAGGTAGCCCTATGGAAAATTTCAAATATATACAAAAGTAGAGAGAATAGATTAATGAACTTTCTTTGTGACCAATCCCATTTCATCTCTTCTCCCACCCAGTTCCCTCCTCCACCATTAGATTATTTTAAAGTACATCCCAGAGTCAAATCAATTTATTAATAAATACTTATAAATATTTTATTATAGAAGTCCTTCAGAAAAAAAATCAAAGATTTATTATTAAGTCACTTTAATTAGTTCACACCAGTTGATCCATTTCAGCCTTCACAGACATGGGACTGCTGCTCAGGACAGAAGCCTGCCTCTGGAAGCCATGGCATCATTTTTCATGAAATAAACAAAATAATTCTCAGTGGTTAGCTTTCCCCCAAAAAAACACTGGCTTGTAAGATGTTCCACATAGGCTTGGAGACAGCCCCTCACATGGGCAGCTGGTGCAGACAACCCCTTCTATTAAGAAAAAAAGGTGTGGAGGTCGAACTATTACATCCAAATAGAAGTAGATATAAAAGATCAGTGCTCCAAAACACATACGATTATATCTCAAATCAACATTTTTGTGAGGGTTAGATGTTTCTATGCCAAATTAAGTGCAATTACTTATACATTGTTGAGTAGAAAGAAGGATGCTTCAAAATCACTGAAATATTATGGAATTATTGGCAGTAATCTGTGACGTGTTCAAGGATAGTGTTTGTAAATTGCCAGTCTCTGCTCCTTGTGTTTAAAACAGAAGTTTCTACACTATCTTCATTTAATCTCTGATACATGAGATGGCAGAATAAAAAATTAGTCTGCTTTATGCATATCTCGCCATCCCATAATGGGACGCAGACCTTAACATCCCATAGGCTTCTTACCTTTACACAGGTTCTCAATGCACTTTATCCTGTGCAGAGCTGTTAATCTTTCTCACTCCCTGTAAACTTTCTCTCTATGGTGATTTATTTGGGGAGGGGGGGGAAGGGGGTGTGGCCTGAGGCTTGATGAAAATTTCAAAGGGCGTGGACAGAACAAGCACATAGTTTACTGATGTGTTGCTGTCTGCA